GGGTTAAAAGTAAGGAGTATAGTTTGCTGTCGCAAATCGTGAAACTTCAATTAATGGAAGTTTACCAAAAATATGGATGAGGAGGAGGAGGAGGGAGAGAGGATGAGGAGTGGGAGGAGGGGGCGAGGATGAGGACATGGAGTGGGGAGGAGGAAGAGAGGGCGGGAAAGAGGAGGAAGAGAGGGCGGGAAAGAGGCGGAAGAGAGGGCGGGAAAGAGGCGGAAGAGAGGGCGCGAAAGAGGAGGAAGAGAGGGCGCGAAAGAGGAGGAAGAGAGGGCGAGGACGAGGACACGGAGTGGGGAGGAGGAAGAGAGGACGGGAGAGAGGAGGAAGAGAGGGCGAGGACGAGGAGGACGAGGAAGAGAGGAAGCCAGAGGGGAGGAGAGGGAGGAGGAAGAGGATGACACAAACATGTAGGGGCACGGAGACTGGAAGACAGTCTTTCTTTTTTTCGGGGGTTGGGGGGGGGGAGCGGTAGGGTATAGATCGCAGGACCAAAGAGAACGAAGAGGAAGGCGAAGTTCAGAGCTCAAGGACGAGAGAAGCGGCAGTGTGTGCCTCAGTAAGTTCCAGCTCGGCTCAGTAAATTACTCACTTCATCTCTCATTGTTTCCATTGTTTCAGGAAGCAACATCCTTGCATTCCAGACACGTCCATAGACGCTCTGTTGCTCTCTCCAAAACGTTTCTGAGGGTCTTTCTACAGATTGTGCCAGTGAATATCTGGTTGAAGGTTCTTCTGTTCTTCACCTAAACCACAGAAGTACGACGTTCGAATACAAACGTCAGCCGAGCTATTTATTTCGTCGTTGCTGGAATATTTCTTCCAGAATTGACGCCCCAAATGTTCTCAAGAGGAAAGCATTGACATGAAACAAGTGGGCACTTCAAGAAGAGGCAAAATATCACACCTTGACAACCCCCCCCAACAGACCCAGCAGTCTGCTAGCCAAGTCGCTAAACAGTTTAGTGTCGTTTTTGTCAAAGTTTTACGGTGGACAATATCCCCCACAAACATGTCTGAAGCTATACATGTACTTGCTGAGGAAATACGGTCCCATCAAAGACAGTAACAGGACGACGTGAGAATGGCAAGTTTCAGTCTCCGCCAAAATCCTACAGAAAAGTTTGGTAGAGCTGAGAGCTGAAATCTCGCCGGTACAGATCACTGTTGTCTTATACGCGTACGTCTTGTATCAACACCGCTATTCTAGATAATTTTATCAAATACAACAACCCCGTAACGATCGGCCTGAAGTAGGGCCAAATCTGGGCAATATCAGGACAAGAGTCTGGATTCCCGGATTTATCCAGATTTCCGATTTATCCAAAATTTCCAGATTTATCCAGATTTCCGATTTATCCAAAATTTCCAGATTTATCCAGATTTCCGATTTATCCAAAATTTCCAGATTTATCCAG